TAGCTCCCCTTTAAACTTTGTTTTCTTTTTTAAATACTTCCCAAAATATGTTTAACAGAGCAAGGAAATTTCCACAGTATGTCTGATAATATTGTTTCTTCTGGAGAAAATCTTATTTGTTTTATTTCGGCTAGTATAAAAGCAGTTTTAATTTTTTTAACACCATTTTAAGGTCAAAATGATTAGCCCCTTTAAGCTATGTATGTTTTCGATAGTCTACAGAACAAACCATTGTTATACAATAACTTGCCTTATTAGCCTAATTAACCTAGTTAAGCCTTTAAATGTCACTTTAACCTGTATAGAAGTGTCTTTAAAATATCTAGTTCAATATAATTTACTGTCATCATAGATAGGTACATCAAAGATAAAATAAATCAGTTATTAGAAATAAGTTATTAAAACTATTATGTTTAAAAAGGTGTTGAAAAAAATCTCTCTGGAAAAATAAATGGGGGCTATTAATTCAGATTGCAACTGTACATTTATATACAGTAGGACTGGGCGAAAGAACTGGTACTGATTATTGACCGAACACTATTATCAATGTAGATTAAAAAAGATTTGGTATGAAGTTTCAATACGAAGCGCTATAGTTTTATTAAAATGGGGCTGCTGAGCGTGTCCAAGTATATCGCTCTGAGTTGCGTTTCCCAAACAACAATGTAACTCGCTGCTGAACTATCATATCATGTTTTACGCAGTGGATGCCCTTCCAGCTGCAACCCATCACTGGGAAACATCCATACACACTCATTCACACACATACACTACGGAAAATTTAGCTTACCCAATTCCCTTATACCATGTTTTTGGACTTGTTGGGGAAACCTGAGCACCAAGAGGAAACCAACGCCAACATGGGGAGAACATGCAAACTCCACACAGAAACGCCAACTGACCCAGTCGGGGCTCGAACCAGTGATCTTTTTGCTGTGAGGCGATTGTGCTACACACTATGCCACACTCACATAATAACATCTCTAGAATTTTAAAAATGATATACTTTCACAAAAAAGTCTGCAGAAAAAGAACACTGAGACAGAACTATGACAAATTATTTCATTCAAAGTTAAAAAGACAAAAGCTTGGCACTTCTGGAGTCAGAATACACCGTTAACATTCAAGCCAAAGTCAAATGCACATAATAACATTTCAGATCAGTCAAGTGTTTAATGTAAGTACCAATAAAGCGGCTAATTAAAGACAACATAATGATTAATCACTTACGACGAGGATCACAGAAGCGCAGTGTGCTCTGCTGCTAGTTGCATCAATATAAGTCCAAGAGCATTTATTTTAAATATAGTATCAGACTGAAGAGAATAAAACAGACTCATAGTGAACCGACAGCCTATTCAAATCACAAAATACAAAGATTTAAGACTTTAAAATATTCATTAAGAAACAGTTACAGGTACTCGAGGTGAATGCAAACCTTCACTCTTAAAGCCTGGTTTATACTTCTGCGTCAAGTGACCGGCATGACCCACGGCGCATGCAACGCGCGTAGCTGTGCATTTATAGTTCTGCGCGCTGTCTCTGTTTGTCAGGGTTCTGCCACTCTGGTCTTATAAATTCTTGTTTTGGTGGCAGAGCTCGGACACTACCCATGTCTGGTCCTGTTTTTGTCTCTGTGTGCGCGCGCGCCGTTGTGGGTGTACGCAGAGTGTGCGCGCTCCTGCTTGATGCGGCCGCGCGCGCGCTCTGCGTCCCTCAGACGCGTGCGCTCTTGTACTCGTGTTTGTGTTTTCGTCTGTCAGCAGCGTGGTGTTTCATTCCCAGCGTCTCAGTCTTGTTGGTTTCGGTTTTGGTCGGCGCTGGGATGAAGCATGCACGCTGCGTGTGTGAGCGCACGGTGAGTGTTTTCATTCATCGTGTGCTCGTGTCTTGCGTCTGTTGTCAAAGCACGTGGCTTGGTGTTTACATTGTGGTCACGTGCTTTTGTCTTGTGCTTCAGTGTTGTGCTTGTCTTGTCATGAACACGCGGTTAATGAGTTCTCTCATTGGCCGCATGTTCTTGTCCTGTGTTATGTGAGCGCATGGCTTGTGTTGTCTCTCTGTGTCATGCGCTCTCCCGTCTTTTGTCTAGTCCCACCCTCCTTGTTAACTCATTATTAGTTTGTCAGGTTCACCTGTTTGTGTCAATTTACTTTTGCTTTAAAATCCCCTCATGTTTTGAGTCCTGTGCCAGTTCGTTGTCTACACTCCCCGTGTTCCTGCTCCAGTCTTGCCTTGTTCTTGTTGTGCCAAGTTTGTTAGTGTTAAAGTTATGTTTTTCCCCCTCGGGGTGGTTTTTGTTGTTCTTTTATTTTATTTCTATTATCAATAAATTATCCTGCATTTGCATTTGAGTCCTCGCTCCCTCATCCTTCCTGAAACCCTGACACTGTTGGCCTGCATTAACACTTCCGAAACGCTAGTTGGCAGTGAGGTGTAAATGTTCCTCTGTGTCGAGTTTCTTCTCTGCTGTTTTGCTTTTCCTGAACACTTCTGGGATGTACAAGTGGCTCAAACTCGCTCATTTTGAGGCAGGAACCGGCGGACGTGCTACAACTTTAACTATGAGGTAAACACAAAACAAAACTTTCCATCCGTAGCTCCTTCACGGGACTCCACACTTGTAAACAATCGCTCCATTGGGCTCGCGTCCAGCTCGCGCGGCTCTCGGTCCCGCCCAGACTCGTCAGCGCTACCAAGCCGACCAATCACAGGGCTTGCGCTACGCGTTGTTGCGACGTGTAGTTACATTTTTTGAGAGGTGCACGTCAGTGACGCCGATGGCCACGGCGAAGGGCTATGCGTCAGCGCCGTAGCATACGCCGGTGTTTGACGCAGAAGTATAAATCAGCCTTAAGGGTCAAACAACAAAAAAATTTGGTGAATAATCCTGATGTGATGCCGGAGTCACATCAGAGTTTCAATAGTCATGTCAAAGCAGTAAATCAGCATCCTATTATCTCAAAAGCATTGCAGAAATTGTTCCCAGCAAGGTGTTAGGGTGCTTTCACACCTACACTTTTGTTTCGGAATGTATCTCGTTTGCCCAGTTAGCGCGGTTTGTTTGGCATATGTAAACAGGGCAATCGCACTCTGTTCCGCGCCAAAGTAATCGCTCCGAGATCGCTTGAATGAGGTGGTCTCGGCTCGATTGAAACAAACCCTGGAGCGGTTCGATTGCAGTGAGAAAGCGATCCGATCCGAGCGCGGTTATATCATAGTGTTTTATGGATATGTAATAGGCTTACGGCTATATGAAGAGAGAATTATGAGTAGGGCGGGAAGTTTCGCGAGTCTCCGGATGCCCGCAAACGAGTGATGATCTCCCGGTAATCTCGCGTCTCCCTCCCAGTCCTCAAATAGGCATCGTCGCGCACCCTTCTCACCCCTCCCCACCGCATCTCTCCTCAGACACATCGCGCGCGCACCCTGTCAATCACCACCAAACCACCACCTCTCCTGACAGTTTAGCGGGACGCTGCAAAATAAACCCTGACACTCTGACCAATGTGAGGAGAGTTTACTCGCACGTGACTTGTTTTAGCTATTTTGGTCCGATTAGAAACTTTGCAATGTGAAAGCGAACCGCTCCAAGAGCAAAGAGCAACAATGTAACAATTGTAATCTCTGTTTCGGAACAACTGAATTGATTCACAGGTGTGAAAGCACCCTTAGAGAAACCTGTTCATGCTTTTATCACCAACAGAGCGGATTACTGTAATGGACCTTCCGTAAAAATAAAAAAAGTCAGACAGTTGCAGCTCATCCAGAATGTTGCGGCCAGGATTCTGACCAGAACCAGGATATCAGAGCACATCACACCTGTCCTCAGGTCTTTAAACTGGCTCCCAGTTACATTCTGAATAGATTTTAAAGTTTACTTGTCTATAAATCACTAAATGGCCTAGGACCTCAATACATTACAGATATGCTCACTGTACACAAACCTAACAGATCACTCAGATCTTTAGGATCAAGTTAAAAAAATAATCTATGCCCACCTATAATAGATAGCCTAGCCTTGAATTACGTCCAAAGTCCTCTTGATGTCTCATTTAAACCGACAGACTAAAGTTCTGTAGATGTTTTGTTTGTTCCAGCAATGTGGCAAACATTTTAATTTCATTTGCCCTGAGCGTTCAAATCATGTGCTGCCTTTCATACAGCAAAACTCCCGAGCGTGAGCGCAGACCACCTCAGGAAAGAAATATTCTCAATTCCTCCCAATTCTTTTGAGAAAAAAAGCCCACTTGACATTACAATGAAGCCGTTTTCAATCTAAGTAGCCTCTGCATTAGTGATGTGATATTCGGTTTAATATTATGAAAATGATTCCTTCTGACAAACAGCCGAGGTCTGGGATTCGCCTAATGCAAAGAGCTGATGTCATTTGTTGTAGAGTAGTTTGGACACTGAATGCAAAACGTGGCTCTCTGGGACAGCGGACGAGTCTGAGTGGTTTGTCAAGATCAAATCGGACATTTGAAGCAGCGGTCATTTGGATGCTGTACTTCTAGATTCACATTTCCAGTCTAATGGTGATTTTTAGGTTGTGTCCCAAATGACGAATAAGGCATTTATTTAATATGCACCTATATGGTTATACACTAAACTAGTGTTTGGCTTTAGTTTCTTTAAAGGTCCTGTGAAGTTTTTTAGATGTTAGTATTAATATGTGAGTCTTAAAGGGGTGGTCCACTACGATTCAATCATTCATTCTCTTTTTATCTTAGTCCCTTTATTAATCAGGGGTCGCCACAGCGGAATGAACCACCAACTTGGGTTAACAACCAACAATATGGGTTAATATTTTGAATCAAAAACCTACACAATGACATCATAAAAATGCGTCCTCTAATTGGTGCATTCTCAGATATATTCCTATGCTCGAGATCAGGCCAGAAAATTTATTAAAAAGGTGTTCAATGATTGGAGCATGGATGGAAACTATGCACACATTATTTCTTAAAAAAAAAAAAAAAAAAAAAAAAAAAAAAAAA